TATCAGAAGGAAGAATTGATTTAGTCCCAGTGTGATGGCTTGACTGATTAACAGAGATCAGAAGAAGGCTCATAACTGTGAAAGCCACAGCAGCATGGAGTTTTAACAGCTCTTTGGGGTCTAGTTAATGAAAGAATCACTACGGAAACACAGCCATGCAAAAAAAAAAAAAAATGCCAAGAGCATTCCCATGTAACATTTGGAAACTATGTCATGGGAGGAAATATGCTCATAATTTCTATTTACACATCGCAGTAATTACCATCTGTCTGAAGATTACTTTCAGTCTTCCCCTGTCAAAGTTGCTTAGATATTTCCTCTTTCACATATCAGGCAGAGAGGTCTAGTACTGGTCAGAACTTGTCCTCAAGAATTTTTTCCTCCTGGAGAATGTCATTATCGGATACCCGAGCCCATGCTGCTTGATTAGACTGGCTTTAATCTGATCTGTGTTCTTGTCATCATCACCATTTGTCCACGAACTAGACTTTTGCACTTGAGTGAGTGTCAGATTGGGCATTAGACTTTAATTTTTGTGTGTATGGTTGTTCTCTTTTCTCTCTCCTGATGCAGTGTCTATGAACCAGATAGAAATGTGTTACGGAGGAAAGAACGAGAAAGAAGAAATCAGGAAACTCAGCAGGATGATGGCACATTTAATTCCAGTTATTCCCTCTTCAGTGAACCCTACAAGGTAGATGGTTTTCTGTTGTTCATTTCCACCCTCACTCCTCTGTACCTCTGATCCCTGGGATGGCAATCTTGACCAGAAATGTTGGCCAACCATAATTCAGTTAGCCCAAGGAAGACAGCCCAGCCACTGAGAAAGGGGTCTTCGCCTATAAAACTTGGCCACTCCCTCAGTAAAGTGTAACTCTTGTTTAATATTGAGATCTGCTTGCTGTGATTTTTATCAAGAATATAGACTTCATCTCTACATTGATTTTCAAAGTCAATGACATTTGCTATGTTTTCTAAGGTGTTAGGAAACAAACACTATTGAAAGAGGTTGGGTTACATATTGTCACACATGGATCATGCTAGTATCAGGGTGCCTGGGAGGGCTCATAAGAAAGAAACTGCTGGATTGTTTCTCATTTATACCAAAGGCCCGAGATACAACCCCTGTCCCAAAATGAAATATCTTCCTAGATGTCAGTAGTATCTTAGGCTGCGTGGAGCTGTGTGGATAGTTCGGGCTCATAGCTTCTTGCACATTAGCCCCATGTTCAGCGTAAGCTTCCTTCTGACTTTTCTTGACTGTCACTCTGGATTTCTAACAAGAATAATTAACGTATTTAGAAATTGAGAGCAGAAAAATTTGAGCCAAATCTGAATTTTCAAGAAAAGCTTCCAGTGGGACTGCAAAAAAGAACGGAAAACCTCATTATGTCTGGATTGTTTTGTGAAGTTGCGACAGTACATTTTCTGGTCCTCAGCTACCACACAACCCCAAGCGTTGTGCCTTCTTTGTTGACTCTAAGGCCCTTCTCAGCTTCCTGGGTCCAGTGCGAGGCAGAGTGCTGACAGATGTCTTCAGAGGTGACGATTTTGAGTTTGGCTCTCTGCTCTCATTATGCATGTGGCGGCCCTGGCTCTGTGGTCAGTGCCAGCACCTCCCCACCACCCCCCATGTTTCCTTTGTCTCTAACAACAGGGTGTGTTTTCTTTCTCCAGACTAACAAGGGGGATGAGCTCTCCAACCGGATCCAGAACACTTTAGGCAATTATGATGAAATGAAAGACTTTTTAACTGATAGATCCAATCAGAGTCATCTCGTTGGTGTTCCCAAACCGGGGCTCCCTCAGGCCGCTGTGAACAAGCTTGATGAGCATTTTGTTGCAGATTCACGAGCCCAGCCCCAGCCCTCGTCTGTCTGCAGCACTGCACCCTCCACACCAGCAGCCGTCCCCGTGCCGCAGAGTAAGAGGGGCACCATGGGCTGGCAGAAGGCTGGGCACCCGCCTCCCGACGGCCAGCAGAGAGCAAGTAAGCGCGGACACAGCTTGATTGATTTGAACAGATCTGCTCACCCTAAGAACCTTAGCAAAACACCTGATCGCTGTACGTCGAGCCCTTTGTCCTCACCTTCCTCCTCTTCTTCTTCCCACTCAGCACAGCAGGGCTCTCTCAGGACCTTGCTCGGCGATGGTGTTGGCAGACAGCAACCACGGGCCAAACAAGTGTGCAACATAGAGGTGGGTCTTCAGACCCAGGAAAGGCCCCCTGCAATGGCAGCCAAGCACAGCGGCAGTGGACACTGTGTTCAGAACTTTCCTCCATCCCTGGCTTCAAAACCCAGCCTGGTCCAGCAGAAGCCGACTGCATACGTGCGGCCAATGGATGGCCAGGATCAGGCTCCTGATCAGTCTCCGAAGCTTAAGTCATCCACAGAAGCCAACGTGCACTGCACATCGTACAGAGGAGTCCCGGCCACCAAGCCAGAGTCGGCCAGAGCAAAGGGCAAGCTTCCCAAGTTCAGCGTCCCCAAACAGGTGGAGGTGAGTGATTCTTCCCTCTTTACTACTTACCTGCGTCTGAGTGGCGCTGAGTGAACCCCCACCCCCCGCAGTTGTGAGTTCAGTCCCCATGTCTCTTTATTTCACTGTGTGGCTAACTTCCATGTGGTGAGATTTGTCGCCAGTAGTAGGGGAGGATGTCCACATACATAATGCTTTCTTGAAAATCTCAGATTCATTAGAATCAGAATGTTTTAAGTACCAACAAATGCAGTTGTGTGTCTGTCTCTGTTAGTTCAGGAAGGGATGTCTCCTTCGATATAGTTCAAGGGATATTTTGTGAACAAGCCAGTTTTGGTGGATATATCAGTTACTAGAAATAAAAGTACTCCCAAAGCAATAATTTTTAGTATGTAAAAAGATTAATTTTCATGTAAAATATTTCAGAAATTTAACATTTTGGTCAGTTTTGAAATGTTTCAGGACAGACTTCACAAAGTTATCCTCAGAATTATTTTTAAAGTGATTGTTAAATGATTCAGTGCTGATTATGGTGAATATTCATATATCTCAGGTGTCCCATCCATATCATAATATTTAAGATCCAAGTTCATTGATGTTAATCAAGTCAGGACTCTGTGTCCTGTCAAAACCATTTTAGGTTATATGAAGAGAGTGAAATCTTTCTGTTCACAGCCTCCAGGTTTGCATTTTGATTTTATTTAAAAGTGTTTATTCAAATGTGTAGAAGGGAAGTTTGGAATATTAGAATCTAAAACAAGCAAATCACATAATCACAGATGTAGCAAAGCGTACATGACTAGTCGCTTGAACAGAAATCTGGATTGAAAACGAAGTTTTGTTTTAGAGAAGCACATCTCATACTGTATTCCAAATTGATGACAGTCATCGAGAGCACACGAAGAAGTGATATGACTGCACGTTTTTGTTTTGCTGGGGAGCGGTGTAGTAACTGAAGTAAAATGTGAGTTCTAGAACACTGTACTTAAGGACTGTCCAGGTGTGTTTTTTCTTTTTGACAAGTTCTTTTTTAAAGATGGAGTGACATTGTGACCAAAATATTGTTTGTTTCTGAATTCGATTGAATAACCAAATGAAACAAATGATTTGACATTTCCTCTGGCATGTCTCACAGGCTGAGCTGAACCATTTCTGAACTGTCATCTCAGAAAGCACCATGCACCAGTTGGGAGATAAACATATTACCCTAAGAGAAGATAGTGTGTGCATTTTTTTTTTTTTTTTACTTTGAGTTGTTTACAAAGGTTCTAATGAGGAAATTAGTAATGTGTACACCAGTAACTTCTTTTGATTTTTCATTTATGATGGATCCCAGAAAGTGTTCATTAGGAATTAAGAGAAGCAAAAACATAACTCTGTAAGCATTAATGTTTTTAGAAGTTTGTAGGAAATGCAGATAGGCACCACCTTACAAAACCGATTCATCAAGCTCTTTGATTTTTGTTATTGTTATCAGATGCCCTGTAATGGCAAATAAAGGGTGGCTTAGCCTTGAACGGATGTGACTGCAACCATCAGGAATTCCTTTATAATTTAATCCCAATTGATTCCTTGTTGAGATGATTTTTATGTACCAAAGAAACTTCAAGTTTATTCTGTAATAGTTTATTTATTCCGGAACCCAATGAGTTGTTAAAGCTCTGGTTAAAAGCCAGGTTTTGGTCACCGGTCCAGCCTTATGCAAGTCACTATATAGTTTTCATTGGGCTTTTGGGTATGTCACCAATAATATGGACACTTTCAGGATGCCCTTCCAGGACCCCGAATTGGGAATGGCACTGGACTAGTGATTGGTAATCATAGAAAGACAGAAATGCCTGAGGTAGAGAGTCATGCTGGCAGAAATTAGAGCTTTTATACAGGAAGTGTTTCACTCCCCTCACATGTGATGATGTTGAACTAGCCAGCCTGCCCTCTTCCCAACTTTCGGTACTGAGCACTTCAAAGAGGGCAGTCGTGCATTGACAGAAAAGAGGTAAGAAGCATTGTTCATAGGACAGAGTTATAGTTGGTGGATTTTTTTTTTTTTTTTTTTTCCGGAGAGGGGATAAACAGCCTTTGTTTTAGCAAAAAGCTTTGCATATTGTAGAAAATAGGTAATTCAAATCTTGTAACATGGCTACGTTTCATCAGTCCACTGTCATCATAAGGAAAGGACTCTGTCCCAGTTAGTATCAGGGTAGTATCTATAAGTTGCATTTCCCATCTTTCAAATTCAAAGGGGTCTTTTGTTTGTTGGTTTTTTACATTACTCCAAGAGATTAAGAAATTCCCTTGGCAGGGATAGTATTCAGTATTTATAGGGCAATTTTATAAAATTAAGATTCATAACATAGAAACTGAGGAATTTTATCGAATAATCAGATTTTACTTTAAGGGAATATTTGCTTTTATTTTTTGCACAGAACAATTCAGTGTGGAAAACAATTTAAAAGATGTTAATTAATGGCTGGCTGTACTTGTTCACACAGATACCACCGGTATGAAAATGTCCTATCAGTTGTAATGACTGATTTCTGGGGAGGTGAGGAATGCATTTTTTAGGGAAACTGACAGGAAATGATCTAAAGGAAACTTGCATCTTTTGACCATCTCTTTCAAGATGTTAGCTGTAGAGCAAGACTTCTGACAATGTGAAGAACTTGGGGGCTAAAAAAAAGTGTGAGATAAAAATGACATGAAAACAAAGAAGGTGCAAATATAGCTGTATGGCTTTGGTAGGTACATCACTTATGAGACAATCAAATCAATGACCAGGTGTAATGTGATGGGAGAAATTGAAAGAAATATCTTAAGACGTGATCTTTGCCCCCAACAAATTTACATGAATAAATTAGATGCCAGCACGTAGCTTTTACTTTGCAATTTTTGTTACTTTCAGTCCAAACTAAATTTAAAAGTGTCCTTCCAGCACTTACCCTGATAATCCTTATAGTAGAAAAATATTGTTATTTTTAAAAATTGAGAATTTATGGATAGCTTTTCCCTGATTTTATACTTTATATAAAGTCTTCATTCTTTCCTTTACAATATCTTCACTCTACCTGCTGCCATGGCAAATTATTTGTTATAATGCTTTAGTCTTCAATAATAGGTAATTAGTGTAGAAAAATTCAATGCAATTTGATGTCAAAGTTAAAGACCTCAAGGGAGTTCCTTAATTGATACACACCTGCCTCTCGGCTGGTTTTCCCAGCTCAGTTTTGTATTTAATGAAAAACATATTTTTGTTGTTGTAGCTGAGTCTCTTACTCTTGACACCACCCCTCATTAAGTGAGCCTTCCCTGGAGGGTCACTTGGAAGGGTGACTACTGTTTGGTGAGCAAGGGACTTAATGAATGACTGAAGCATGCATTCTAGAATGTTCTAGGGGAGGGTACACTAAACCTTATTTCCAGTTGAAGTGAATTATTTTTTGTTTCACACACACACACATAGACATATAATTAATGTTTTATCCTTAACATGTAATTCAAAATTCAGATGTTGAGAACTCTTTACCTGAAGGGCCAGATATAAGTTTTTTAGAACCTGAAATTTATACCATCTTAAGGGTCCTCTTTAGGAACAAAGGAACAGAAAAACATCTTACACTTGAGATGTTTACAAAAACAGACAATAACACATGGCTAGGGCTCCTCCTGGAGCCTTGGGGGACTGCTGCCTTGGAGGCCCTGAAGCTTGCGTGTCATTAGCATCATGGTGTCTTTATCTTTGGCTCATGGAATAATAATTATTATTAAAATGATAATTTTAGATATGAAAAGAGTGCTTTATATTAGCCTCAACTTGGTAGAATTTAAAAATAATATCTAATTCTAGGTGATACAGGCAAGGCAAAAATGGGACCATACTATGAAAAAGCCTAATATTCAGTGCCATTGAGACAAAATATGGGTTTCACAGGTTCTGAAATAGTTTGTTTGGCAGTTATAGCTTCAGCAGGTGGTATTCCAAAATATATACAGTTTAGTTTCTGTTTCCTGTTAATTTAATAAATAGCAGTGATTTGAAACTACTCTTGCAGAGGTCTCTGATGGCTGAAAATGGAATGCATTTGAGAAGAGAGGAAACCATTGGCAGCTGCACTTAGCTTAGTCATTGATAAGGAAAAAGACATCTAAACTGAATGTCGATGCATAGACTGTATGTTAGGAGTGTTATTTGTGGTTGACAATTCATCCACAAGAACAGAGTCACCATTTTTGGTTGCTCAGAAGTTTATGTGTTAAAATAAGTAATAAAATGGCTTAAGGTATATTGATTAATCATAGCATTGTCACAATGGGCATTTTAAAATCACTGTTTATACCACAAATAAGAGTAGGAAGATAAAGTACTGTGAGTCTACAAAATAGCTTCCTCGAGAAGCAATTAACTGATATATTTTTTTAAAAGTTCATGGAAGATAAATGGTTTAGGTTTCCTATTTCCTGTCACTCTTGGTTACCTTTGTATGAAAATGGGATTTCTTTCAAATTAAAGTCGGCACCAGTCTGCCGGTAGAAAAAGGCATCTGCAAAGCAGTGTGTACGTTGCATACTTACTCCAGTCTGAAACTCTTAGTTACATTTGAGATGTATAATGTTTTCAAATCCAAGTACGCTATCCGGTTGCTCATCGATGCACCGAGGACGTGTGGCCAGCCTGGGTCTTGGTTCACAACTGTCGTGGACTATTCCCACCCCCACCCCTCCCTGCCATCCTCTTCCAGCCCCTGCAGACGGAGGCCACGTGCAGGAGGTGTGGCTTCGTTAACAACATCATGGCGTGCCCCTGCCCTCAGAATGCGCATCCTCCTTGTTCTTCCCACGCAGACTGAGGAGCGTGAACACGCAGCACTTCGATCTCATGCTGGATGAAATCACTCGTTTTCCACACTGTAGAAGGTCTCGCGAAGGCAGGCGCGTGGAAATGTTTCTATACTTTTTGGTTCTTTGATGTTTGGCCAGTGGGGCCCTGAAGGCAAAGCACTTCCTCACTTAAAAAATAACATTGA